CTCTAAGCCCCCATCTCCCGTATAAAGTTTTACCTCAACAATTTTATTTCCGAGTTAACGCGTTGACGGTCAATGATATCATCTCGGCCTAATTTCTTTAACGATACTGAAACTCGGAACTAGTATAATACTCTGATACAAATCATCCGATTTTCCCAAACCCATGTATCCGACTTGGTACTCTCGTATCATTCAGCCTACATCGAGAGAAACGGGTGCTTATCGAACGTTCGATTTGCGGAAAACTCGTAGCCAAGATTCGTGAATATTCGATTGAGTTTGTTAGTGTAATTTTCGTTTAACCTGATTTATCGCTAATATCCTCACAAAGTTGTGTCGATCGATCAGTTAGATCTTCCGTTTGAACGATTTCGAAATTTCATAGATTTCACTGATTCGTACCGATATAATCCTGTATAATTAGAAACGTTCTTATAATGTATCATCATTGGAATATATGTGTGCAGATATATGTATATGTTTGTTAATAGAAAAAATTTGTGAATGCATTCAAACACGAAACTGTTTGATTTGTTTATTTAATAGAGTTAATACAGATTAGTAAATTATGTAACATTTAGTATATTTATTATGTATTATATTATATATATTATTTTTAATTAGTATATTACATATATATACAAATTAACGTACCTACTAGTAAAAAGATTAAACCATAAATGAAATTATAAAACAAGATTTACTGTACTCAATAAAACCGTAATTTAAAGCATACAAATATACAGATACGCACATTTTTAGATACAAAATTTATGAAAAAGATTTAATTGAAACTATGATATAAACGAAATTATAGTATAAGATTCATCTTACTCGGTAAATCCATAATTCAACGCATGCAAATACACAGAATCATAAATTTTCAAATGCGAATTTATGAAAAAGATTTAATTGAAATATGTATGAAATTACGTAATAAGATAAATTTGACCCAACGGGATTCGTGATTTCTCTTGTTCGACAAATCATACATTGTTCTATACATATATAAGTCCAATTCGATCTTAATCCGTCGAGCAGTGATTATTCTAAGACGGAGACGTGTTCGATCGGTTATATCCGATAGATTTGATATCGTATCCGGCTTCGAGCATCTCCATTTACTTGGAAATTCTCACGGGTGGAATAAGGTAATCAGCCAGTTGACGGCTATTCCCTGGATGGTTCGTGATCTAACTCGAAAATGCTTCGCTACCTCTATTTATCTTTCCTCAGAGGCATCTTATATTGTAGAAATCCTATACTCATATACTAAACTTTAGTATTAGGTAGGTAAATTCAGAGAAATAAAATACTTATAAGAAAAAAATGAATACTTTAAGCAAAAACGAATTAGATTTATCGTACTATAATGAATCCACTAGTACATATATATCATCGCATGGCGTATGATCCTTATATGGGTCGTTCGTTCATACAGGGATCTCGTACAGACAGGTCTTCGAATGAACGACCCGTAATATGGGTCGTTAGTAAACCGGGTCTATGGAAAGTACTGAAATCTCTTAAAATGTCATTCAACTTGTTAATATTTGATATAACAAAAATGAATCATTTCAAAATTTATCTGTGTATTTAATTTTTACAGAAAGTAATTTCGAA